GGGGGGGGGGGGGGGCGTAGAAAAGCCACTATTTTTCTAATCTTTAGGTTTTGTAAATTTGAGTAGACCGAAATATCTGTCTCTATTTCAGCCTATGATAGCCATTTTGACAGTATTGTTGTCGGCTGGTGAAGGGACAGAAAAATTATTTGTTGCAATTTTCCTCACCTCCGAATCTGTTGGGAGCCGCGTTCACTCATCGAGTTATTACTTGGATCGGATCTGTCAAACCTTGATATATTTGGAAGGATGGATGTAATCATACCATCAGTAGGGGCCTATCCCTCTACACCAGTCACGTCACGTCTGTAGTCCTCAAGGGTCACAGGATCACGTAATACTAACAAAACGAAATAACAGTGATGCCCAACACTAATCTACAGTCATCATAAAGGTGTGGAAAATATCCATAAAACAGGGCCTAGTTTTTCTGACTTTGTGGCCAGCCGACAAGTATAATAAAGCTATCAGAGGCTGGAATAGAGACAGATGTTTCAGACTAGAATTTGAACAAAAACATCTTTTGACCTACGAAAATATAAAAGCACTTTAAATGTATATGTAAAGTATTGTATTTTAGATTTGGCTATTTAGCTTATTGCTAAGGAGGTGTTTTTGTAGTTTGTATATGCAGCATACCGCGTAATCTGACTGAAGTCCAGTCAAGTTTGTAAATGTTACCCACCATGCGACCTTCACCTTTAATCATCTTCCGGTTTCAAAATGGCAGGTGATTCTTGGTAAGGAAAATAAAGTTATAAGTATTTTGCAAACGCCTATTTGTTAGTTGAGATTAGGATATAAATGAAATGAAATTTGAGTATTTGTGAAATTCAGTGGCTCCACTAGATGAGTGGGGACTCTATAACTTAAGCCTAAGACCGAAGTCGAAGACAACTTGTCGATCCCAAACCAAGCCAAAAGGACTAATAGTAATACGGCTGGATCTACTGTCAGGAAGTCGATCATGGACATAGATTGAGTGAGATAGGAGATTGAGTGAGATAGGACTTTATTGCTAAGCTTCCTTTTGTCATTGATTCAGTTTGGAAATAGGCTTAATTCTATTCTCTGACTATGTACATTGTGCTATGAATTGGATTATTAATAATATGATCTTTTACATTTATTACAGGTTAACAGAACATGATGAGTGCTCTAGAAAGGGCCAAGAAATTATGGAGAAGATTAATGAGAGAAACAAACACAATAGAACTAGTTCACAATATACCAAGGTATCAGTATTAAATTCTATGCACACCAATTTAAGGAATACTGCCGCATAGAATGGACATAAAATTTAATGTTTCAAACATGGTCAATATGAGTATATTACATATTCATCAGTTAGACTTACCTGGTGCCATGACTCAAGAATATAATCTCAATATAAAAGGTTAAATTAAGTTGATTATTACTTGGTTTTATTGATTTCTTGGATTGTATGGGTAAAGTTTTGACTCGTATTGGCCAAGTTTAAAAATTTTTTTTGGTCATCCCAAGAGGTAGTATACCTTTAATAAGATTCAACATTATCATCAAAGAGAAAAATGTACAATGAATATATTTTCTAAGAACTGTCTACAATGTGAAATTTTTATTATCAGCTTACTTTTAGCAGTTGTTTTTGATTGGTTACTGACTTTTGGTCAAAATTCCACTGAACATAACAAAAGAAGATTTTCATCAGATCATGAATGGGGAGTGTAGTAACCTGCACAAGAAAACAAAAACAGAATCTGAATTCTCTGGTATCCCTTTTTCAGCTGTCAGCACATGTTCGTAGTAATATGAAACAGTTTTCTTCTAGTTTAAACATGTTACGACAAAATTTAATGAGATCATCAGCTTCATATCATATGTAAGTTTTTTTAATGTAGACCTCAAAGCTACATCAATTGTCAGTTTCAGAATATTTTGTGCAATATAATTTTAGTGACAGGAATATTATATAAATGATGTCTGAAGGGTTAGATGGCAGATTCATCTCAATGGCTAATGATACTTCAGAGTTGCCTTACATATCTGGCCCTACCTGTTCTTTGGACGGGATATGCCTCACCCAGTACCACAATACAGTTGAGGTGTAGGCTTTTACTTTGTACAGCTCCATTAGTTAAGCCTACCCTTCTACTGTATTGTGCTACCAGGTGAGGCACCTATACGGACATATCCAAAAATGTCTTAATGGTTTTGACACCATTTTGGGGGGCAACTCCTGGCCTGTAACTTTACAATTTGAAATAAAATGTTATTGTTGTATCATAGAACACAAAGAGAAGTTGAAAGACGTCAAATGTTAGTTGATAATTTAACATCTAAAGAAAAACAATTAGACCAGGCATTTCGTAATGAGAGTGGTGCTGGAAGGTTAGTTATGTTTATTTGAGCAAAAATTAAAAAAAAAATTGTCTTGGCTATGCTTACTTCTGTCTTGGTATTTATTTTATTGGAAAGGCATTTTCAATGCCAATACTTCTGATGCTAAAATCTAAATATATGTAAATGATTATTCCTTATTTCGTAATGCATATGCTTACTCTTGATAACAGGGGTATAGGAAAACCTAAAATGACTTGAAAGTATCAACCAAAAGATGTAAATATGTGTTCAATGAGAAAAAGGATAGCTAGTAGCAGTGCTATTTTATATTTGAATATATCATTTCTCTCTATAGCTATGTAAGGTCACCTGGTAAAGGAGATAGGTAGTATATTGTATTTAGATCAGCACACATTGAAAATGGCCATTGCTTACAATGCAATGCCCAAATCGGCTTCCATTATGCAATATTTACAAAGACCATTAGAAATCTGCCTAATGAATCATTGCAACTACCCTGTATGGCAATCCTTCTTCACCTTCCTTCAAAGGCCTTTTATGATCTAATCTATCCATTGCCTGAGAACCCTTCCAAAATAAGTTATTACCAATTATGATAAGGATTGACTTTCTCCCTTTTTCCCCAAATATTATTTAATATTAATATTTAAAATATTTCTAAATTTAGTAGAAAATGATACACCTTCAACTGGTGGTCATAAGTGCTGGGTATAACCAATAATGCCACAATATGATATGCATTCTAATAAAAGGAGATACAATACACACTTCAATATGGGGTTATAAACTCCTTCAAAGTTTAGCAACTGAATATTTTTTTGGACTCAATGAATTCGCAAATGATACGAATTGATGATTGACATTTTAGTTAAGTCTGATAATGATTCTCATTGGTATTTTCAGAAGTTCATTACTGGGTGGAGAAACATTTGGTGCCAATGATCCTTGGGGAATTGGTGAAGAACCAGATCAATTTCAAGGCGTAACTAACTCTGGTTTACAAGCTCAACAACAATCAGTTATTCAGGGTACATTACTCTTGTTTATTGTCATTTTATTCAAGACTCAACCCAAGCCTCTTGAGGCCATCTTCTAAAAAATGTTTTAAAAAATCTAAGACCTAATGTGCTGGAATTGTGAAATCTCATTATACCAAACATCTTTTGCTTTTCCATATAAACTGTCAAAGATTGGCTATTAAATTTAAGGAATTTGGCTTTCTAGCATTTGTATGTGGTGTCGCACTATTAATTTGTCCTTTAAATTGTAGAACAAGACAGAGGTTTAGATGCATTAAGCTCAGTTATAGCTCGACAAAAACAGATGGCCTTAGATATTGGTGATGAAGTTGACCAACAAAATAGTAAGATAATTTCTTCAGAATTTTATTAATACATAAACTGATGTAGTCAGACATTAGCAATTATACAATACAATATTTTACAATATAATAATACAATATATATTATATTACAGTATTAATAGATGATATAACAGATCATGTAGATAGAACTGGTGAAAGATTAATTAAGGAAACCAGACATGTTAATATTGTAGATAAAAAATCAAATACTTGTTGTAAGTAATATTTTTCTATATTGATTTGATTATTAATTACTTATTTTATATATGAAATCTGCATAACTTGGTAAAGCCTTGAAAGCACAGACAGTGGAATTGAAATTGCTTTCTTATTTTTATAAGGATAAAAACTCATATTGCTCAAAGGTCTAGTTGATATTGATTCAACTAGATTCACCAGAGACTTACAAAGCACAAAACAGCTATGAAAGTTAAGTTGAAATTTGACTCTATGCTACAGGCTTTGCATGTTTAAGATACTTGACAGTTGGATATTGAAAAAGGCCTACATGGCTGTCCTCGAAAAATGATGCATTCTCTGAGGATTGCATTTAATTTCAGAGTATATATGATTGCAAGACAGTGAAACAAACCACTTTTTAGTTCTGAAAATGATGTTTATCAATTGTTTATGTTTGATATATCAGTTGCTAAGATGTTGTTATTTGTTATTTTCCAGGTTATTGGGTTATTATTGTAGTGTTATTTATTACTATGATTGTTATTGTTGCTGTACCATACAATGGAAAACCATAACAGCCTTATCTAGAGTCATCATTTGATTTGGATACTTGTGATATCTTTCTATAATTCCAATAATTGTCTATTAAGGAACTTTCTTTTGTGCAATATGATGTAAAGTAAATTGTTATTTTTTTACTGTCAAAATATTTAATTAATTTAAAATACAGCACAGAATTAAATATTAATAAGGGATACAGATCAAATTATTTTCTGAAAAGGAATAAGGATGTTCTAGCTATCTGTATCACTTATCATAATGAAATTGGGATGTCTAGTTTGTCTATAATTAAAGACATGCAATCAAGGCTGTTAATTCATCATTATATTTGTAATATTTTTATGAAAGAAAGTCAATAACTGCCTGAATACTGTCAGTCATCTCTACCTCAATTACAGACAAATCAGATGTCATATTTGCATTTTGGAAAGGGATATGTGCTGCTCTATTAGCAAGGAAAGCAAATAACTATTCTTTTATGATTTCTCCATATTTCTAACTTGTAAAAATCACAATATTATGCTCACATATTATATAAAATGAAGTAAAATGGAAATATTATTTTTATTGACCTGTATATATGTAATAATCTTTATATTGTTAGTTGTACAACCAAAACAAGTATCATTTTATTATTGTATGTACATTAAGTTGTCTTTGTTTTTTGATACAATTTCAATTTTCAAGACTGATTCTTGTATTTTTACACCAATTCTCTTTTATTGAAAAATTTTAACATCTAAGTCTGTGAAATTATGCCATATGTTAACACAGATAAAGACATTGAACATTTAACATTGACCACTCAGTAAAAACAGCAATACATACTTAGTCTATAATCTAGTTCCATCTGATTCTTGTCGTTTATCTAAACGTCAATGATCATACAGAAGGTTCAGATTCTTGCCTAGCCACACATTTTCATGGCCTTTTAGATGGTTATCAAATGAACTATGGAACGCAGTTAGCTAAATTAAACAATTTAACATGGTCTGAAGTAGTACTATTCAGTGCCATATAAACGACGTAATACGTTATTGCCTCCCTTTACATACTGCGGTTCACTTGCTTCACATTGACTAGAAAATCAAACTGAGACTCAATCAAAATACATGAATAATCCAAATCACAAATCCGCATTTTGTTCGTTCAGAGTAATGGCTATTTACCACGGCGTGGTGACATGTTAAAATATTTATCATTGAAACTAAAGTGGCAAGTACCCATGGCTCAATTGGATCGAAATAACATTTTGAATAGCTCCAGAATCCATTACTCTCTTCTTCTTACCTCTCCCTGATCCCATCAACTCTCTTCTTACCACTGCTTGATCCCATCTACGGTCCTCTTTGTTACCTATTTACTCTCTTCTTCTTACCGCTGCTTGATCCCATTTACTCTCTTCTTCTTACCACTCCTTGATCCCATCAACTCTCTTCTTACTACTCCTTGATCCAATCTATTCTTCTTTACCCATTTGCTCTCTTCTTCTTATCACTCCTTGATCCATTACACATTTACTCTCTTCTTACCACTCCTTGATCCATTACACATTTACTCTCATCTTCTTGTCATATAATTCTGCTTCCTCTTGTCTTGATCTCCACTACTTCTCCTTTGATTTCTATTATATTTCTCCTCGTCTCTCCGCTTTATTTTCACTAACTTCTAATCTACATCCAAATTGAACCCTGCATATATACCACATCTCTCTACCCCAACCCGCTTTCCTCCGGCCCACCCAAATTTCTCTCTCTCTCACCCGCTCACTCATCACCATAGGCATCCAAGACATCTGTTTATTTGGTCTATGGGAGGATGACATAAGGATAGTTCACCGGGCATGTTGTATGTTTCATGAAACCAGTATGGATCAAATTGTGTAACATAACCGTTCATTACTTATTTTCGAGTAAACACATGTAGAATATCTATGGTAACCATTAAGGACAAACTTGAAACTTTAAAGCCCGGAATTTTTTTAATTCGATTATATATTCTTCAAAGTTAACCCCTTAATTTAAAAAAACAACCAAACAAACAAGCACCGTAACTTCCAGAACGAAAAAAACCATATGCCTTTCCAATGTCAATGTCTTTCGAACCTCGAAGCACCAGACCGTCCAGACGTCAATGTCAAGCTGTCGTTCTGTAGATTTCACCTACTTGTTAAATTACAGGTTGAAAGGGTACAAAGAAATAAATTATAAGTAGTGGTTGGCACTAATCCTAACAGGATTTTTTAAGAAAAAAGGAGAGCTTTTTTTAATTACGTGGGTTTGCTGTTTGTCTTGTTGGGTTAAGAATGGCGTAACTGATCTACTATCAATCAGTTTTCAACTCGACTAAAACAACACCATTTTATTTTACCTTCTGCTACAGCGGCAGCCTTTTGTCTGCTTCTGCAATCAATTGAAATTTTCTTTTAATCTATGAAACGTATAATCAACATATAATGTTACTTCTTTTACGAAAACTCTGCTGATTTCTGTTATAAATTCTATTTCTTGTATTTATTCTTTGTCTGTGGTTACAATCCGTCGCATGTAAAGTATCGTCTACAACTTCTCTTGGAGCTTATTTTGGCTTAACTCCCAAATTTCAACACTTATTTAATACAGTAAGGTCTCTGTGAAGTGGTAATGATGTTGGATGAGTTTGTTGTTTTTAAAACTAGTTTGTCAGCACCAAGGCTAGCGAATAGTTGAAAGAAACAGGTATATCTATTTCTTTTATTTTCGACAATAGTTGACTTTGGAGAATTCCCTAGACGATGTATACACCTTGGTGAAAGGGCTGGAAGCCGACACCGAGCTGACATTCGCAGCATAGCAATTTTTATCAAAATCTTTTGTTCTTTAAAGGGATAGTAAAGAGATTTCCTAAACAAAATTTTATGTGTATTAGGGACACTCTTAGCATCAATTTGCACCATTCCAATTTTCAATCAGACGTATGCGATTCCTGCAATAGTAAACTTGTAAACTAAACTTTAACATTGTGCAAATGCCTTCTTATTGAATAGTAACTTGTTACTTTCAATAACCCTTAACAATCAAGCTAAGTGTTTGAGGACGTCACTTATTGCAAAGTGCCTATGTGATAATGACATCATCAAACACTATTTTGTGGAATTGCAGGGACCACAAACGCCTGTGCTGGCTGTTTTAAACACGTTTTAAGGGTACGGTAATTTCATTTGAATAAAAATGAAAACTAATGAACTGAGAAGATGTTGAGGTTTATTTCTAAATGTCTAAAACATTTGATTATCACAATAAGTATACTACAAAATTCTATTATAACATTAAAACTAAGTGTTCTATTGAAGGTAGCATATTACGCTACCATTGAATTCAATACAAGCTTCAAAAGGTAAAAGTCTGGTAACATCTTTGGTATGACTGCTAGATAAGCATGCAGCCTTCATATAAGTCTAAAAATTACTACTGCTAGAAGTTGTAAGCCTTAAATATGGGCTCATTTCGAGTAACAGGCGACTACTTGCAACTGAAAGCATCTGATCCATCGATGGATGAAGTCGACCTGTCCGCACCGATGACTGAAAAATTGAAGTTGACCAATTGTCACCAGTGGTCGGTGTTCTTGTTTGATTTTGTTGGTCAGAATCGGAGCTGTAAGACTCTTTGACCAACAAGTACACATAAATTGCTAGTAATCTATAAAATTCTCGTTCATGGCGACTACAACGCAACGCAGAAGCCTAGAATCGCATGTCTATCTGATCCAACATATGCAATTATTCTGCAAGCATTGATAATGTTTGTATTGAAGCATTGAATCAAAACAGCCAATTGAAAATACAAAATATTTTGAAAGAACAACTTCAAAAATGCGCTTGGCAAGATTCTACAAAATGCAAGTTACACCATTTCAATAAGAAACAATTTCCAATTTTAGTCAATACAATCGTGTTAAACGGTGATTTAGAAATACCAACCAGATTCCAGATTTTATGGCAGATTTATGCATTATATTCACTATGCACTATTACAAACAAAAGATAGAACATCAGACAGAGGCTAACAAAGTGATATGTACAATTTTTACCTACACTACGGTACCTAATATTTGGTTTCTAATGAAAATTATCGTACTAAAGAATATAACTTGACATCACTACACGATTTGGATTTCAACATTAAAAATATAATTTAAATTTATAGTTTTACATAAACAACATAGTTCAAATTTACATAAAACTAACAAGCGTAATATACATAGTCATAGGGTTTATCATTCAAATTCTTTTTAGGGGTACAAAAGTTCGACTACCACTTGTCGAGGGATTGGTGAGTTATAAAGGGCTTGAAGTGGCCAACTAGCCCACTGTTAGATTGTTTGCATTTAAATTTACAATGCATAAGAGCTAATGCCCTTGGCACTCTTGTAACCCTCTTAACGTTTTCGTAATCTTTTAGTTCTTGTCAATTTACAGCCCTAAAATTCCCTACACTTGCACATGGAATTACTTATATGACCATACAATATTCGTATAACACACCCCTCAAATCATACATCGTCTTTCTCTATATATTTAAATATCAATTTTCAGATACGATTTCTTCACTCCAAATCATTTACGTTCCGTGTCCGACTCATTTGGTATTTGCCATCAAGTTATAAACAGAGTTACTTTAAAAGTCACTATATAAATTGGTATTGTAACGATATTACTTCCTTGTACTGTACTGTAACGTAGTCATTCACAAATGTGAGTTACATTGCCATTCATAACGCACCACAAGTACCCTATGTGGGCTGGCTATAATACCACTTTCGTACCCGCGGTACCGTTTCTTCTTACGTCCTTGCTTTCTTATATTATTATATTGTTCAACGACACAGCATTCATGCCCAGTTTGTAACATTGGTTTATATCTAATTCATTTTCATTGTACACTATCCGCACTTTAAGAGCACTGGTATTACATCACGATGGTACACGGTACATCATAAACGCACAGTTCGTACTCGTATAGCATAGCTTATATAGCATGGTATGTTATAGACCATTAATGTACTGTCCGATTATTAAAATAGATATTATCATATGGTACTGTCCATGCCAGCATTGGTAATATATAAGATGGTACCGAAACTGTACGTTAAACTTTCTATGGTATATGGAACATCATCCGCGCTTCAAGAACATTCATATTACACCAATATCTCGTAAATAATAATAACATTATAATGATAATAATATATACATCAGTAGTTCCAGATAATTATTTCAAAGATGAAAGTCGCTATTATTAAATAAAATTACTTTAAAAACAATAACTCTATACAACACAATAAAATAATTTACAATGAACGGTAAACTATAACGTCAAAGTAACAACACTTAGATCTCAGCATTTTTCAACAGTTCCGTCAAAATATGTGTTTTTTTTTAATATCACAACTCCTTCAATTTTGTCTAAAAATCTCATCCAAATCTCAGTTTATATACTTAGTTCGAGGTATAATTCAAACAGCACTTTAAAGTATATTAAGATCAGTTTCGATCAGTTGTGACACTTTCCACGTCGTTCGTGTTTGACAAATCGTCGTAATCTACGTTGCCATTTATCTTTCCATCTTATCACCACACTTTTCCTATCTATGACAAATCCACTGCGGCTATCATTTCTCTTGTGTTTACCCACAATTAAATACCTACGACTTAATCGAATCTTCGGGCATTTACATTGCAGATCTTTCTTGGGTACCCATAGGTACGTTCCTCCACGTCTAGCGCGGTCAATTGGTGAGGTACCTCGTTTGTAGGAATTCAAAACGTTGATGGTAAATTTCACCCAATCGTCAACTTTTTCTCGGGAAACAACTTGGGCATGGATAGCTGCAATAGACAACGATAGATTATGAATTACAGTTTATAGGGTTTTAATTAAATCTTGATCCATATCTAGATATTCACATATAGATATCAGCCTCGTGATCTTATCTTGACATCAACATCTAGATCTATACATAGATATCTAGATCTTATCTTGACATCAACATCTAGATCTACACATAGATTTCTAGATCTTATCTTGACATCAACATCTAGATCTATACATAGATTTCTAGATCTTATCTTGACATCAACATCTAGATCTATACATAGATATCTAGATCTTATCTTGACATCAACATCTAGATCTATACATAGATTTCTAGATCTTATCTTGACATCAACAACTAGATCAATATTGATATTCACAAAACCACCAATATTTGTTCTATGCATCGAGCTACATCAGGATCTAAATCCAAATTTGATAGAGGACTGGCTAATGGGCAAGTTTATCTGCTTCAAAGTATTCGTAAAATTGGAATTTGAAATTACAAAAGGTAGCAGATTAGGGAGAAGATACCAATTATTTCTATCAGGTCATGTGAGATAACACCACCATGAAATACAACACAAAATATTCTGTATCCAGTAAGAAATATATGGTAAAGATTTCTATATAAAATGATATGTTGAGCTTGTGTAACTTACCAAAATCACGTCGACAGAATTTTTTAATACTTAATCTTCGGCTTCTTTTCTTACATTTTTTACAACTATCTTCTATAATAAATAATAGATCACATTATAATAGCATATTATTTGTTATTACTTAAATTACATTAGCACCGTTTTAACTCTACCTCTGTCATTATTATTAAAGATAACTGAAAGGAAACGGGCTAGTAAACGGACCATATGGGCAGATAATAACGCCATTGGTCTACTGTACACGATTTTTTATACATGTACTAGTCCAATATCTATGGATCCGAAATCTTTCATGTGCATTGTTGGGGCTTTTTTAACGTCACTGGACAACATTTTTAAGGGAGGGGCGAAATATTTCCCATGGAAGAGGACGTGCCCTAACAGATCAGTTTACTATCATAGATTACTAACCCATGATGGACATCAACATACCAGTCCAAAAATCTACAAGAATTTCATTTCCTCGTGTTCTAAAAGCACACATGAGAATGATATTCATTCTTTTGATATGCACATAACCTACTGCGCACAAATTCACATTATATTTTACGAAATGTGTTGAAATCTCTGAGAATATTCCTAGCACATTTATTTATCAAAATCAGGCCAACAGATGAGTTGGAACTTCAATAGCTACGAGTTCTCCGAAACCATGCCCTATCCTTTTTTCAAAAAATTACTTTCAATCACAAAGGGAAATATATAATGGTTTTCAAAGAAAAGCTCGAAATAGTTTCTTCAAACGAAGAGAATGTTCCAAAGGTGGTATATTTATTATTTTTCCTTTTATTTAAACAAATAAATAGAAATCAAAGAGATTAAACAGATTTGATTTTCTTCAATAAAACACACCGTATGCTGATAATTACAAATAGGAACTTTAGATAACCAGATTAAAGGCATACAAAAGGGAGGTAATTCAACAATAAAGATATTCAAAACTAATTAACCATCGCAGCTATTTATGGCTCTATTAGAAACGTGATCATTTATTCTTAAGCTTTCTTCAGAATTAAATCCCGTTGTTTGAATTTAATATCCACTAAACTGGCCATAAATTGACCGGAAGTCAATTGAAAGGGGAGCTTATGCATTGTACTTAATATTTGGCCACCGGAAGTAACATTTTAATAATGTATTTATTTAATTAGTATCAAGTCACACTACCGGATATTCTAGACTAATTAAATAGGCAAGATTATACCAGTTTTATTGAGTTTTAATTCAAATCAAGAGAAATATAAAAGCGTCAAAATATCAAAGATGGAGTTCAAGGTGTAACTAAGCATTGTTCAAGATGATAATAGAGTTAAGAAAGTCGTTACAAAATTTACATGACATTACTTAAGATTTTGTAAAAAGTAAAATTAGCGTTGAATGTGAAGTGTTTACCACAAAAGGTATGAAGAAAATTGGGAGAAGTATTTTGTAGACATTGTAGAAATAAATGGTCAACATTGCTTTACTCTTTGTATAACCAGTAGGTAAATACAAAGTTTCTACTTAATTGTTCTTGTCATTATTACACTTGACCAGGTGTGAGGGCAGACTTTCTTTTGATCTTTTTACCTGTACTTGAGATCAATGCAAGGTGTGTGGTCACATTTCCTGCACTTCAAATGAGACTTGTGAGAAAATTTAACTAGAAATTAATTGCTTTGTATCAGTCTCCCTTTATAGCTATGTATATTAGACATAGAGCCATCTTCAATATCAACAATATTAAAGGGGCAGCTTCGCCATTTTTTGTGGGTTGATTTGGGTCTTGAATATAATATGTAAATAGTCTTCAGAAATACTAAAAATGTACGAAAATCACATAATTCCTTAAAAAATATCTCAAACTAGGAATTTTACTTTCTATTTCTATAGATGTCTTTCCTATATATAGAGTCTAAAGAAAAAACGAGTCGTCTTTTTAATTTTCTAACGCGGATAATTCTGGACACACATGGATATGAAGGTTCACATTTTGACAGTGAGCTGTAAACACTATCAGTTTCTGAGACTAAAGTACGATTGGTCAAACGACTGGCGAACATGTTCCTTTAATAGAAAGCCCAAGTTACTGAACGACCCTATGTTATGTTAACGTCTCTACAAAAACTTTCTAAAAGGAAATAATTTGGAGAAATAACATTTAGCACTTTACAATCAATAGTTATAGATTTGTCTTATGTTCACATTCGAGACGAAATTGTAAAAAAATGCCGACATACTTCAAAAGGTGATCAATAGTGTATGCCTATACCATATACTAAATAGCGATGTTATTTTTTTAAGTACAATATAAGTAAACAGTTTAATAACGATTCCAAGCAGACAGAAGATTATTGATGATTCTGTCCTTAATGACCTAAACCATGCAGATATCTACATTAGTTAGGAGGAGAATGAGGTTTTATTTTTACTTTATCAACCATGAAATTCATTGAACGGCTTTTTAATCTATTCTTAAACTCCATCCTTCTATTCTGTACATCACATTAACTCTGAAGTTGTCTGCTAGTAAATTAGTCTGTTCTGATTATTTTAGTTCTAGTTAGCTACAACAGTACCGTGGTAAATCAGGGTTAATTTCAAATAGAGCGAGAAAGGAACCGGTCATTTTAGTACAAGTATAATATAGACATTAAAATGGACTTTTAAAAGTTACCAAGCTTCGGTGCAACTGAGAGTTTCATAATATACTCTTTGGTCACTTTTTAGTTATATATATCTCTGAATCAAATTTACTTATTTTGTTTCCTGCAAAGACTTTTTAAAGGATGGGTTAGTTATCAAATTGCCTTGAGAAGATGGTGCTTACTGAGACCCATAAAACAAAACTTACTAACTGGTGAAATCTAACTTTGAAAAATATAAAAATTACCTTGAGTTGGTTGGCGGTTGGGTCCCCTCATATCAGTTACAGGAATCTCTGAAAATAAATAGATATATCACTTACACTTACTGAGAATTTACTTTAAAGGGATATACTCACGTAATTACATTGTTATATATGTAGAAATAAACCTAAAATTTGGTGAATTAGTCGGACAAATTATTATTGGAATTGTTAAAGCGAGAATGTGCCAAAATGGACAAGAAACTTCATATGTAATCTTGGTGAGACACCCAAAGAAGTTAGCTGAGACCAGGTCCAATCCCGGAGTAAAAACCAATGCAAAATTAACAATGTATTTACGTGAATTGTTCCCTTTGATAATTGATTGAAAGTATTAAAGAGTTATGATTAATAATATACAACATCAATCTACAGTAAAAAATACTAAAACTTAGAGGTGATTGTAAAGAGGTCTTCTAATTTTTTTATGTGTATTGGGGACATTGATAGCATCAATTTGCACCCTTCCAATTTTCAATTAGATGTCTGTAGTTCCTGCAATTCCACTAAAACCTAGTGTTTGACGACGTCATTAATCGCGAAATATGCTTGAATCACTTAAGGCTTTCGCGATTAGTGACGTCATCAAACGCAGTGTCCCCGATACACATAAAAGATTTATAAAACCTCTTTACAATCCCTTTAATAATAACTTGGCTGAATCAATCTGAAAATAGTTTACATCTTAAAAATTATATCAAGATTAGATGAAAAAAGTTATCTCTTATTAACATTTCATGTTATTTTTCAAAATTCGTTTGATTATTTTGGTTAAAATTGATTTTTAGAATTTCGGATAAGATGGAAAAGGACGTCATGTAAAAAAGATAGGTCTACAATTTCAAGTGTATGAATTAGTGATAGAACGAATGCGTTTTGCAGATCTACTAAATTGCATATACTTTTATTCATCCAAACGCACGTTTTTATAAATCTGTAAAACTGGGCTATATAAATTATCTAGTCTGAATCGAAAAGATCTGCTAAATGCCACGTTAAATGAATCTGTGAAAGCTTTCATCATATCTTGATAAATGTTGAAGAAAATACAAATCGATTAGCGCCATTCTACATCGATATATCTTGTCTGTATATTTGACTTACTACATAGATATCAACCAAATAATTTTATATTGGATGGGTTTTTCTCCTTTTATCTTATCATAGACCAAGTTTGTATTATTTATTAGGGATGTATCTTTTTCTTACTCACGACTTGAATACATTCTCTACGCTTTTAAACAGTCATATACAATTTCTTAAGCTAACACAAATTTACATGGCTGTACATCTATTGAACAGTTCACACTTCATACTAGAATTCATGTTTACCTATCATTCTCTTAAATAGGACTACTAGTTTTTCAATTTGCCAAATGTACACAATCTTATAGACATTTGTCAACATCAAGGTGCTCTACTTTAAAGGTGAATGTTGACATTGGTCTGTGTTAAATTTCTCTCGTGTATAAAAAGGACCGTCCTTATGGGTAAGCATTGTAGCGGTGAAAACGAGTCTTATTTTGGTTAATTTCTTGACAATGTGAAGAAAAAGAAACGTATGTAACGTTTATTATTAAAAGGTGCTTCGTTTCACCTTTAGCTAGTGAAATTTGAAGAATCTCGCTATTCGAATGTTTAGATAGAGCCCCTATGATACTTACTATACCAAGGTATTTTGAATTTTAAATAGGTTTAAATAAGAAGACGATGACCTTTGTAGATGTAGCTAGAATACTTTAAATGATAAATATTCAAAAGTGACATATCTTACATTTTTGCATTTCATTTGCACTATAACACTCTCTAGAGAAAAAGAGCATTGCGTGAGAAATTCATCTTGGATGACCAAATTTCTTAAATATACTCCCGCCAGATGTGTGGTTTAAAAACTGTCTCTGGTTTGGTGATGGTGCAACATTCAATTGTTTATTGTGCAAAACCGCAGTAACCATGGCAATCTTTGCTTGATCTCTTTGTGTTTAAAATTTACTACGCTTAAAAGAGATTTCCTGGTGTTATAAGTGTGGTCACTTTTGGCTTGTAAGTGCGCCATACTGGGTTTCCTTCCAAACCATCTGTTGTTCCTGTTATTCCAGACAACTTGGCCAGATTACGACGTCGCAATCGGAACCCATTCAAATCAAGCAATAGTGATCTGATCTCTAATAAACCAGCAAGAAAGCCTATTTGAATTCTTTTAAGAACAATATTCGACATACATCGCAAGCCATTCAAGCAATAGGCCCATCTACAAGAAGCTATGATATTCATAATTAAGCAATCATGATTTATTACGCGACGCAGTAACGCATTATAGCAATTAATATAACAACAACTCTTCAAGAAATAGATTGTATTGAAATTGTACTTAATATTTCACCGTCAATACATTAGTATTTCATCTCGTCTGAAGAGCCTAGCACTGATTAAACTAAGAAAGGTGATTTCAATTATTATGAACTGAAAAACGTGATAAAGGGACACAGTCGTCTAAATATGTGTTTTACCAGCAAAAGAGCTCAATATTAGTTACCACTGTTCAGAAAAAAAAACTTCGAACGATCGGTTCTACTACAATTCAGGAGATTTTGTGATAATGACGTCATAGATATTTAGTTTACAAAGAATTGCAAAATTTGAATGATTCAAATCGTTGCTATCTGAGTTTCCATAAACCATAAAAGTTTTAAAAAACAACTCCTTTAATAATATCCTGAAAGTGACGACGGCCTAAATTAACGCTGATGCTGAATTGCAGAAGAACCTTGCGTCGGATCATAATTCTGAAATGTTTTTTTTTGGCATATATTTAGACGACTGTATCCCTTAATTAAAAAAACCAACGACAGATATCATGCAATAAAAAAGGAAATATGTAAAGTATTTTGAAATGTTAAAGATAGTGTAAGAAAATGAGTAGAACCAAACAATACAGATGTTAACAATCAACATAGTCTTACAACCAACAACTTTTTATCATTCTATTTAAACATGGTTTTAATTAATCCAAAATATGTGTTACCACTTTCAGCATAAACTTCCTCTATCAAGTTGGCAAATTTGACTTCTCATCATCTTCACAATATCAAGCTATTACGAATTCTACTTTACACCTTGAGATCATTTGACACTTTTTTGTATCACAGAATGCAGTCATTTGATTGGATTGTACACGTGAATGCAGCCAATCGGAGTCCTCTGCAGAAATATTGGACAATATGACAGAACGTATATTCGAGGGTTCTCATTGACTGTATTTGCTATCGTACAATCCAATCAAACTTCCATGTTACAAGAAAAGTGCTTAATGAAATCAGGGTATAAGACGAAGATCGTAATAGCTTGACATTGTGAAGATGACTTCCAATATGTTCCATACGTTGTTATTGCTAATGTCTTCTTCTGATTATGATTGGAGTGTTTTAAATTAAAACATGATGGCACTGATCGTTTTTCTATGTCTAACATCATGTCTTAATAATGCCAACCTGATAGAGAATGTCTTATTTGAAAATTCCTGCAACTTATCATGTTGTGCGATGTGTTTTTGTAATTAAAATGTGTTAAGACATATAGAAATTTGGTAGAAATCATGCTGTAATTACTTTCTCTGTGTTTAACACTAAAAATAGCCCCTTTCCTATTTATTTCATTTGACAGGCGTTTAGGATCTGTAAGAAAAACGGTATATAATTTGTTGATGCGTTTGTTTTTCATACAATTTCAAATAACAATTATTAATTTTTTGAAATGCCTCGAATTCCTGAGTGCAAAGCATTATGAATTATAGTTTTCTATTCGGCGATGATTAGGAGATGGGGCACTCTCCGTTCTCGTTTCTAATGGAATGGTAATTTGTGAATTTGTGAGATATTTGAAGAATGACAAGTAAAATATGACATGATGGAACGGGTAACGATTAATTCCTGGAGGCCTGTTGTCAAAAGTATCATAACTTTCAGATATACATAGAATGTATTACAATGCTGTTTAATTGCTTGATATTAATGTTACATCCAAGGAGATAATTTTATACTATTAAAGGAATATATAGGGGCTGAAATGTTTGCTTTATCAGATAATTCAGCTTAATTTCAGTTTCCGTATCGAAATTCGACATTTAGTTTTTAGAATTTTAACAAAAAAGTAACGTTGAAGTTATGTCACATTTTATCGGTTGTAATAAGACACGCTTTCGTAAAAAATCTACACGAATATTGATAACGAAGTAGAAGTGACACTTTGATTTTGAAAAATATACGGAAACTGAAATGATGCTTTATTATCAGTTAAAGCAAATATTCCTTACATATCTCTTGAATATACGAGGATAGTAAACATGGACATGTTCACAACAGGCCACCATACAAGAATATACGATAATTAAAAGGATATACATAGATAGAATGGAATATAAACCAAATGGCAATCTCAAGCCAGCTGTAAGAATTCAACTGTTTGGTTTTAATTAAAAGTCACTTACTGATGCATGGTGCAATGGGAGATTTGCTTTGCTGATATCCTTTAGCACATCTATTACAGGTCAGTCCAGTAACCCCGTCCTTACATGGACATTGTCCAGTTGTTTGGTTACAGGTTTTACCTAGGGCTCCAACAGGATGACAATCGCAAGCTGAAAATAAAATTAATGCAGTTATATTATTGGGTATTATCACAATGTTCTAAAGTTGCACATCAAAATCGGCTTTCAGTTTCTTAAAATATAGATATTCCCTATATTAATGTGAAATATTTGCACAAGAATGACTTTAATTCAGTAAAATTAATTGTCCATAGCTCAATTAAATATTCAAAGATAGGCTAAAGAATGACATTTTGTGATCTTTTAAATATTACATAAAAATTATTTTTAATTCAGTAAAATTACTAAAATCAATGTACATGACTCAAAAAATTCCGAGCCTTCAAATAAAAAATTGAAATTTTCAATTGACTGCCAATAAACTAAAAAGCAATGCGGTAAAGTTTATAATTTTCATCAAATTTTAAGCTACCAGTAGATTTTTCAATGGTAACTGCATATATTTCACAATGTTGATAATTCTATTTTGCCAAGTTATAAGAGAATTTATGCCAAGGTACAAGAGAATTTATGCCAAGGTACAAGAGAATTTATGCCAAGGTACAAGAGAATTTATGCCAAGGTACAAGACACTTTAAACCATGGCAAGTGAAGATGGTACTGTAGTAAGATTCTATATAATAAAAATAAATAAAAAGCAAATCTAGGGCGGGGAACAACCACCAACAATGTTCCTGATATCGTATATAAATATCTTTATCACATCTAGCTGATTATAAATATACACTTTGAAATCTAACCCTCAAAATAACACCGTCAAAATAACACAGGTATCAACTAGAGATGGAGGCTAACGTTACTAGTATTCAATATGTTTAGAAGGTAAATGAAAACAGGAGTAGTTGTTATTTTATTGGTAATGGCAACAATCAAACAGTCTAACGTCTACCAGAAAGTATAAACATCTAGAAGTATGGGAGTTCCACTGCTAGGTTACTGTTGGGAGCGTTGAGGTAGTGACATAGGGCATGCTTACCCTTTTGCAACTACCCAATGCCATGTTGCCTGTACACAATAAGGGTTAAACCAAACCTTTGAGAGGCCGCTACGAAAACTATCAGAGATGGAAAGATGTTTCGTACAGATTTTACACAATGTATATCGAAACTTCATTTACTTTAGGAATTGGTATCTATTCAAAGCGACTAAAAATACTATGGACTAAAAAAGAATCAGTCTATGCCCAAGTTTTATGTCTAGTCAATACTGATTTAGGGACAAAATACAAATAAGCTGTTTTGATTGTAAAACGTACTAACCAAAACTATTTAGGATTTGAAAGGATTAATTTTTGTATTGCATAGCTGACTACAAACACAATAAATACGTATTTTTTCGTTATTTTTAGGTTGAAATTTTTAAAGGGGTGAAGAGTTGTCTAATATTTTCAACGTCCTTACGAATGTTCTTTAATATAATATGTACGTTTTTATCTTTTGATACCTATTAAAGACGAAGCGAACGCCGGATTCCCATTTTAAAAATGACGACAGCGTCATTATTTCAAAGTATGCCTATAATATTATGCGTAATAAAAAACGCCATTATGTAAGTAGAACGTAAACATGATCATGCCCCCATTTCGCACCCCCTTCAGACATTTTGTCATATTGTTGAAATAAGCTATGTCCTTTTCAAAAAGGGTCGTAAACTGGCTTTAATAATAGTTTAACTTTAAATACTTAAAGTAATCATTCACATCTTAATATCTAGAGCAGTGAATTGAGAAAGGCTGACCTTTAAATCAGGTAAATGCAAATTTGTTCAATTGCCCTTAAAATTGCTGTTATCATACATTTTATCAGGTGCTTTTTCTATAGAAAATCACAGCTGGTAGTTGTTCGACTATAAGATAACAGCTTTGTCGTGAAACATTGACATAATATTGAAAATTTAATTTTTAAATTATTTAGTCATTTACCTATCTTTTTCTATTGTATAAAATGCACTTTTACATTTGTACATACTATCATTGATCTCTGCGCAATCCCGGAAGTCATAATCATTCTCGATAATTAAGCAATCACACAATTTCTTTTTTAACAATGATCTAGAAAAATTCTTTTTTGCGCAGTTCCGGAAGTACTATAGTATCAAGTCAAAGCTCGAGCTGTCTACTGGAAGTAATATATTGAACCTACACATATACATTTATCATAACCAGGATCAAAAGAGGTTTTCTAGCTTTTGCATGTGTACGAACATTTCCGGTGCAGCGTCCATGGTTCCTGTAATTCTAGGAAAGGTTTATCAAATTATGACGCCACCATTGCAAGAAGTATTCAGTTCTTTTGAAAATCATATTCTTTTTTTTTATTATAATTGCAGGATCCACATTTTGTGGGCCAGAAATAAGTATCCCCAAGAGAAGACCTCTTATAAAACCCGACAAAAATGCGTTAGAAGAGCGTTGCAGTTTCGATCTAACATTTAATGAAAAACCAAGTCATTTATTAAGTCGTTTCGTAGTCGAAAGTCATTAAAATTAATTCCAAGGTGCTCTGAGATAAGCCGTGGTAGAATTTAGTGATATAATCAGAGATGTATAGTACTATTTCAACTTATTTAGACAGATCTAAACCTCGCCCTATAATTTCACTTTCTGTTACACCTAACATATATCACTTATATTATGTGTTTAGATTTTAATAAGATTTAATTAAGTTACTGTTATACACAATGACAAATTTTCTTTATTTTCAAATAGATCTTTATTCCGTTATATTATTCACATTTAAAGGGATCTAATCGTGTAACCAATTGATTTACGAACTTAAAGCCTAATTTCAGCCAGCCGTAGTACTTTTCAGAATGAAAATCAGGTGTATGATTCGTCCTAATTCAACAAAAAGTGCAACATGATAGGGCTGTCACTTCAAGACCATTTTTAACATTTCTCGCGTGCAGCTACAACCAATGACATCTTAATATCAGTAAAAATTGTTCGTTAGAATGTAAGGATCCAACGTATAGTAACTAAATTGTAAGCGAACCAGTCGTGGTGATGTAATTCTGAGAAGTGTTACAGGTATTACAATATTCAGACTAAATCCCTTTTAGTCTTTTTACCTTCATTTTAATAAGCATTCCTGATTGTTCAAATTATTCATTTTCGCCTGAATCAATTCCGTTATCACATAATCCTTGAAATATATTAGAAAATTGTCTAAGCGTGTTCCAAAGCCAACTCTTTTTCAGTTCAATGGTTCATCTTGTGCTTTCTAGTAAACTTTGAATGATGTCGTTTTAAAATAATTGTTCACTTAAATGGGAGTAGCTGTTTAAGCAAAAACTATCTAATCCTGCCTTTTGATACCGGTTCTATTCATGGGTCTATATTGTTGTATTTAATAGGTATAAACCGGGATGAATGAATGAAACAGAGAAATATCATGTAACATTCTGATTTCTTTTCAAATGTTTGATCTCAGGGGATCGAAAGTTGGACTCCACCCAAACGGTTTTTGTTCATTTTAGAAATTAAACTTGTTTAAAAGTACAATTTAGGTATCAAAGGTATTTAAGAATTTAAATATACCTCGACCAAAATATAATATTATGTGTGCTATTATACAGAGAGTATTCAATTTTTCCAAACCGGAAGTCGATCGTATTAAATTATTAATTCAAGAAAGGACCGCAGCTAAAACAATCAATAACCATATTTTAAAAGTACAATATATTTATTAATTTATGTATAAATCGACCAAAAATGTGTGCTCCTATACAGGCAGTATTCATTTATTTTTCTAATCCGGAGGTCGGCCATATTGATAAGAAGTAATCAAAGAAAAGACCGCAGTTAAAACAATCCATAATCATATTTTTAAAGTACAATTTTTATATTAAGGGCATTTATTAATATTAATATACATCGACCAAAATATAATTATAAGAATTCATTTTTTCTAAAGCGGATGTCGGCCATATTGAAAGGAAGTAATCAAAGAAAGGACCGCAGTCAAACATTCCTTTTTAGATTTTCATGATGAATAAAATATTCTAATCTGCCAAGTCTATTGTTATCTTTCACGACGTTCACCCAATTATTTACAGAGTAAAAACCAAATTAAACAAGGCGTTGAATCTTATGATTAATTTGTACTTCTCTTCCAAAATTTTGATTAAGAAAAATATTTTATTATTATTTTGTCTGGCGTCCCAAATTGTTCAAAAATAGTCCAAACTAAACAAATTTCCACATTCTTGAAGCCTAACAATCTCATTAGATATTATTGAAGTCAAATTCCCAATCTAGGTGGTAGATTTTACCATAAAGGTGTTGAAAGATATACTAACACATGTGGTGGAATGTCATTCTTAACTGTCGGCATTTATTACGCGGTGTTGAAAATTTTATCAAATCTTTGTTTCCTACATCCAATTTGACTCTTACAATTTCTTTATTTTGATACTGTCTGTATAGTGATATACACGTTCCCAAGCCTGCCAAACACGTCAACCCCCTACAAAGGGCGATAACTTTTATCTGAACTTGAGTCAGTTTGACGTCAATGCTGGTCTTAAATTTATTTTATAATCTGTTTATTAATGAATTTATTATAAATGAAAAACTGGGTTAAATTGATAAGACTAATTTTTTCTTGGTAAATTACAACATTTCTATAAGCAGAATTAAAACAAGTTTTCATTTTCCGATTCCATGATCTTTTGGGATTTGAATTTTGACCATTGTCACTATAGCTTAAATGGAAAAGCATGCCCTAGACTAAAAGATATAAACTACTGTATCTGAAACTACGGGGTACTAGACTAGATCTATGGAAGTCCACACCAAACTAAACACTATCTATGATATATTAAAACTCTATAGTGATATCACCCTGCCTACCTTTGCAGGCTCGACGACTTGTGATATGTTTATCTGGATCACGATAATATCCTTCATCACAATAATGACAATTTCTGCCCTTTGTATTGTGTCTACAGTTTAAACAGACACCACCACTGCGCCCTCCGGATAGGATGTACAATTCTCTATTAAAACGGCAACGACGAGCATGCAAATTACAACTGCAAGCTGGAACAAAAAGACAAGACACACATAAAAACACATGACAACATCGAGTCTCTCACCTTTACAAGCTTTTCTGTGGGTTATAGGTTTACTTCTGTCCCTATAGTAACCTTCTTTACAATAATTACAGTTTCTGCCAGCAGTATTATGACGACATTTTAAACATACTCCTCCACTTTTATAACCTGATAGAGTATATAACTCCATATTGAACCGGCATTGACGAGCATGAAGGTTACAATTACAAGCTGTAAGAGACAATTCTTCAGTGTTACAAATTTTAACAGTAATTCAATAAATAGAAATCTGAAGGCGAATAGAAATATAATGGCAATAATTAGCCACCATATATTCAATGTGTTTGATGTACATGTACATTTGTTTGTATGGTTGTTTTTAATGTAAGAATATGTAAATGCGGGTGATGACAAAAGTATTATGACCATTATTGGCCACCATACATGTACATTTAACTTCATTTGCAGTAGCATACTGATATCCTTACGTTAAGTATTATGCATATTAGCATCATGTTAAAAAAATCATAGTCATTGGTAGGAAATTAACCATATAGATCTTTATCTGATATACATTATACATGTGTAATATATCAACTGAAAATCTACGGTGGTCCATTCATGACATGCATCATTAATGTAATATTTTATTTGATGGGATTGGTGATGATAATTTTGTACGTTTATGCAATGGTAATATTTACACTTGAGGGATTGTCAAGAGGGTTTTCTAAAACTTTTTATGTGTATTAAGGGTACTGATAGCATCGATTTGCGCAATTATCATTTTCAGTCAAACGTCTGTTTGTCTAACAATTGCACTAACTCTCCATCTTAAAAGCCCTTAGATATTATTACAAGCTTTTGTGTTTAGAAAACCTTTTCATAACCCCTTTAAAGTCTTCTGCTGAAACTCGTGCTATGTCAAGTAACTTTATTAAAATTTATATCAAAATGTATAAGATATATTTGCATAATACTACGTTCATTTGCAACGATTAACTGTCGATACTTCATAATTTGATGCATATCACCTTTTTAAAGGAACAGTTTCGCCATTTTCGACATTTTTGGGGGTTGATTTTGGTGTTGAATATATGTAAATAGCCTTCAGAAGTACTAGAAATGTACAAAAATCACAATTTTTTTCAAAAATAATTCAATCTAGGAACTTCACTTTCTATTTCAATATAAACATTTCTTTTCTGTACATTACAGAGTTGCAAGAAAAGATGAGTCTTCATTTTAACATTCAAACGTGGATAATTCTGGACACATGGATTTGGAGGCTCAAATTTCGATGGTGAACTGTTTACTACTGATTAGCTTAGCTAAAAACTTATCGTTTCTGAGACTAAAGTAAAATTGGTCAAACGGATGTCGAACCTGTCTCTTTAAAGGCGGTGCAAGAACTGTTATAATGTGTCGGGTCTTTATCATCAGTGCATCTACATTATAAATAGGAAATATGTTTAAAGTAAATGTGTTTTATGTTAAGTTAATACCACCATCAGTTATTTCTTACAGATTGTGTTAGTTGTATAATGTTGAGTATGTTAATTATAAGGTAATTATCAGGTGTGATAGATTAAGTTGAGAGGAGAACGTTTAAACTACACTGTAAATCATTACTGTAAAAATCTCTGTATTACAGACAGTCTTGCTGTGCTGTTTTTATGGTTACTATTGTCATCCATAGCGTTAATGTAACGTGAAATTACTTATTAGACATAGCATACAAAAATTATGTTTTAAGTGTTTTCTGTACAAAAAATATTCAGTAAAATATACAGAACTTTGTAAGCAGTCAGTGCTTATTCGCCATTTATAATGATAATGATGCTAAAATAGTGCTCAATACATCATTGTAGAACGATATAGAAATATTCTATTTATAGAAATATATTAATTACTGTATGTATTTACAGACAATTCTGTCATTTACCGTTCTGTGATTTTAACAGAGCAAGCAAAATGAAATGAATGGAGTTTTACGTCCTGCTCTTCTGCACCATTTGGGCTAATAACAGAGCAAGAAGACCCGAGTTCTCTATCGGAGACAACATTAATACTGTTAAGTGTATATATTATATTTTACAGTGTATGCATTTTTGTATTTTATGTATAGATTATTTTGTGTCTATTGATATGTTTGGTATTTCACTACGCCATTTCTCTTTTCAATGTGCCACATTTTTGTACTTAACGACAGTACAAACCATTGACGATATTTAGCTATATAATACGTATACGTTAGAATTCGACCTTTTTTATATTCAATATTTATTTTGACTGAACATTGACTTCAAGTTGCACCATCGTGTATTTTACTATCTTTCTTCCGCAAGATATATTCATTTTATAAAGGATATTTACGTAACATTTATAAAAGCCTGTCTTCAATAAGATCCATATCTCTTTGGTCCACGTCAATTGATCCATGTCACTTTGGTCCACGTCAATTGATCCATATCTCTTTGGTCCACGTCAATTGATCCATGTCACTTTGGTCCACGTCAATTGTTATATGTGAATCGGTCAAACGATTCCTGTTACTTTACACAATAGCAGTTTTCTTTGGTCAAAACAGAATGATCGTAGCAGAAGTCAGAATGCATTGCTTAGACCACAGATCTGTACACAAACTTAAATTTCGCCTAACAACAAATTTGGTAGCTCTGATGATCATAGTAAGCTATGAACAAAAACCGCAACAAACAGTTTTAAGGGTTTATTTTAAAAAAGAGTGTGTCTGGGACATTTTTTACTACTTATACGAGACAACTTTTTATAATAGTCAACGTATTCATGATTCATCTAATAAATGGTTCATTTAAATAAGAATATTGAAGTTATGTTAAATACGGTATGAATAAACTAACACAAGCAACAATTATTTTATTCAAAACGCTTCACCGATTCATTCTAAGATTATTTGGATAAGAAATTGTATTTGTTAAATATATTAAGCATGGTGTATTTTGTGTTATCGGCCCTCTGTATACGGCTAATTAATCCTATATTATTTCTACTAGATCGTGTTGATTGACGTGAGGAAATTTTGTCAGTGATTGTGTTTGTATTTTGGGTCTAATTGTATTTAAGGTCTCAAGTAATAAGAACGACACCTGTGTTTGCTCTTTATTATTATAAATCTCTATACATTTGTCTTCAATGACTGTATTTAGTTTTCGTCCAATTGTTTATTAAACATATTATGCTAATTGCTTATCCAGAATTACTATGGTTTTCATATTGTTAAATTGGTCGTTAGGGAGTCATTGAAAGACACGTTTCAACTTATCACTAAGAAGAATATCAAATTATGTCACTTTTTTGCAAGTGTCAGAATCAAATTGCTTAAATAATAACATAATTTGAGCTCTATCGCATGTCGCTTGTAGGCTTCCCGTTTGGTACACAGTGGCTTAACTACCACAGGGACTGGTTGAACCAAGTCTATGGGCTACCACCCCTTAGGGGCTCCACCCACTGAAAAAAATTCAAGGGAGCATAAGTTTAGAAAAAAATATTGCCAGGGGAGAGGCCCAAAAACACTTAATTCCACGAGCCCTGTGTCATTTAGTTGAGCCACTGTTGGTACACCCGATAGCACTCTGTTACTGGGATTGTCAACATGTTTTTGTTATATATGCCCCATTCTTGTTTTCTTTCGTTCCTTTACTTCCTATATGTTCTAAGATCGAAATTATTTCAAACTACAGGTACTGTAGAATCATCTGAATTAAAAAGTTTGGTATATTTTGACGAATACAATATGAAAGATAAGACGTGTAGTGATTTTCATTATCTTATACCATATAAATATGATAAACTGTTCAATTAAATATTAATTCTCTAACACCTGCGTTTATCATTATTTATTATATTATTTATTATAATAGATTACATATGGTACTGTTGGCAGCTTTCTTTGGTTTCCTTTAATTCAATTCCACCGAATCTGTTACTATCTTGCATGTACATTTCAGATTTCCATCATTCTGTGGTGCTGCTTCATATTAATATATGTGCAGTAGATGTCTAAAAACCCTTTGTGGCTTTTAAGAGTTAGATGCAATTTTAAATTTGTCATTTCCGGTTTTTACAATTAGTAAACAGCTTCGTTACATAACAAAACTTCACTCGAAGAAAAAGTATATCAAATATTGCACATTTTGTCTTATTCTTTATGAAAATTTCCACAAAAAGATTTCCAAAGCGTTAAATCCTGCCAAAGACCCATGCAAAACCTTACAAGAGTTCCAATGGAAAAATACCTGGAATTGCAGTTTTACTATGTAATATTATGCACAATACAGAATATAGAACACACTATCTACAGAAAATGCCATAAATCATCAACATATATTTTACGAATTTACATTATCATAAAATGTCTAATCTTTTAAATAAATATTTAGTTTATTTTCATGCAGTAGGTCTGTCATATTTAGAAACCATGAAAGAAAACAGAAAGATATTTCAAACGAGTGATGAAATATGGGCTGTAAAGAGAGCTTAATAAAATTTTCCTATTTTTTAATCTAATATGCTTAAATAACACAATACAATAGATCCTATTTAAACTACACTAATTAATCATAAATCAGAGCTTTCAGATAGTAACACTAGTAAAAACTAGCAGTAGATATGTGAACTTTAACCTCAACAGCTGGAAACTTTATTTAACTTAAACAACACCCATTATTTTCCCAGCCTACTTGTAAGATTAATATACATTCTCTGCATTGCATTTGTTCAATAATCATAGCGTGGTGACATTGAAATATTTTACACTAACGGCGTCGACAACTGGATGGTGTTTTGTCTAAATGGCTCCAATCTTAACTGGCTACGAAACTATCTCTTCATTCAACGTAAAGGTTCTGACAATTTGATAATCTTACGTTGTAAATCGTACACGACTAGACGATACCTTTCACTGATATATATATACTCCTCTCAGGTGGTTAAAAGAGGTCGAATGTTGGGTTGAAACACAGTTGAATATAATAAGAGAAATGATAGGTGATTACATAGATCAGAGCAGTAGTGGTTGTTCCTGGATAGAAAGTGGTTTGTTTGATGATCAGATCAAGAGCCAGTTTGGTGATCATCTCAAGAGATTGAGATCAAATTTACTTTAAAAACAAGTAAATCAAGAGATTAGTGGTGATAGAGTCAAGAGATTGGTGGTAAATGAATCAAGAGATTGGTGGTAATAGAAT